TGGAATCAGCCCCCATGTTAGAAAACACTGTATTGGGAAAGTTGTGCTTGAGGCCTCTTTGTGTCTTCTGAAAGACAGAGGCTGGGCTGGCCCAGAATGCCGGGCCAGCTGTGGTGGGAGGAGTGGAGCGAACCTCAGCCCCGTTCATTTCTCAGGTCAGGTTCAACCTCCTGAAGGCCCAGCTGAATTAAAATCTTCGTTAAATCCATGAGAGGATCCGAGAATCAGAGGCTGACCTCTCTCAGCATTGGAGGGCTGCCTCTAGTCTGAGGAAGCAGGTCCTAGGAGAGGCGCAGAGCTCCTAAGTGCACGGCTCCTGCTTGCCCTGTGCGATCTCCGGCTCCTGGAGGGAGATCTTGCTTGTTCTGTGTCTTTGGGATTAAAATATGCTGTAGCCTGTATCTCTGCTCCTCAAATATGTGTTAGACAAATACCAACTTTAAGTAAAAACAGTGTATTAGAGGGGTTATGTGTTTTAATGGAAAGCACACCAGCCTAAGTGCTTTCCTGGAGTGCACACAGATCACCTGGGGGTCTTGTTCAAATGCAGATGCTGAGTCAGTAGGCCTGGAGTGGAGCCTTAGAGTCTGCATTTCTAGCAAGTTCCCCCAGGGTGCCGGTGCTGTTGGTCCAGGAGTCATACCCTGAGGAGCAAGGATCTAGAAGACCTGATTTCAAGTACTGGCTTCTCACAGCCTCAGTTTTCCCACCTGTGAGAAAAGGGACTTTGGACTAAAATGCCTATTAGTTCTCACCATCAGCAGCATCATGGAGAGGAGAACAGAGAAGACTGGTCTACAGGAAGAGCGTGTCCAGGCTCTGAGTTTCCAAGGACTCCCCATTGTAACACGGTGAAGACAAATGGGCATATGGAAACAAACAAGGCAAGAAATGTACAATTTGTATTCAGACAATCCCAGAGTGTTCCCAGTTTTATTCACATTGTGCCTTGGCTGACATTCAAAGGTTTGGCTTTAGTTACATCACACGATCAACAAGTGAACCTTCTAATTGTGCTGTTTGTCTCAAATAAGCTATTGGGTAGGCTTAATTCTGCCCATAGCTTGCCCAATAGAACAGTCTAATTACCAATAATAATCCAACATAGGCATAAAAGATTATTACCTTTAGATCTGAAGCATATTTTTAACCAGAGTAGAAGTGAAGATATAGCTTGATGCTACAATTTGTTTGCTAAACCTGTCAGTTGTGGAGGAATTTCGTACCATCTTGAAATCTTTCTTGTCCTTCAGAATCCTCTCAGATGTTCCTTTCTCAGTGAAACTTTCCCCAAGGCCACAGTCAGAATTAGTAGCCTCTCTGCTACTCGAGCCCCTCTGCTCCCAGTCGTGGCTCCATTGGAGCGCACGCCTCATGGTTGGGCTTGTTAGGTTATGTGCCTCATCTCCCTCCTGAATTATGGGCTCCTTAGGCCATCTTGATGGAGTAGAAAGAGAGTTCAGGGACTCGGAGCCCATGTTCCTGAGTGCATAATTCAGCACTGCTCTGACCTGGTCATATGTCCCCAGGAGGCCATGGAATTTTCCAGCCTGGATGCCCCCCTCTGTAGTGGCCGTGATCAGTTGGGGTTGTTGGGAGGGTTGCGTGAGATAATGGGTGTGAAACCGCCTCACCCCTCTCCTGGCTCAGAGTAGGCATCCGACAAAGGTTGGCTCAAGTTATTCCTTCTCTAAGGTCAGGGATCATGACTTATAAATCCTTATATTTCTGGCACTTCAGGAAGAGTCATGCATGGTGGGTGCTCCATAAATTCTTTAAAATTGAATTTAATATCCTGTCTTTTAAGGAGGTTGGGATGTATTTATTTTAGGCGTAGAAATAATGCAAGATGGAGAAATAACTGTTTGGTTTTCTCTTAATAGCTGATAGTGAATGCTTTCCTGAAATATACAAAATGTATTTTGAAGAGTTATTAAAATTGTGGTGGAGATTTATTTCTGGTTTGCTTAGTTTAGAAATCCTAAACACAAGAGGAGAAAAGATAAACATTACACAGGGGAAAAAAACCCCTATATTTAACAGGCGATTCCTACAGGGTATCCATTTTATATATTTATATGTATAAACATTCTGGAAGAATTAGAAAAAAATTGATAATAGTTACCTTTGGGAAGAGGGTCAAGGGATAGGGGAGAAGGAGACTTTTCATTTTGTACATTTCTATGTGGTTCAATTTTTGGCCATGTAGGCATATTTGTGTTTTTAAAATATATATATATGTATATATATGTTAATAAGGATATCTGGGGGAGTTGAAGGATGGGCCATTTTTATTTTACTCTTCTACATATTAAAACCCTTAAATATTATTTTTAAGTTTTATTTTCAAGTGGCTTACATACACGGTGCTAATGATAAATGAGGGTTTTTTTGCCCCTTGTCAGTCATATGTCATCTCCATCACAGAAGTCAAGGGTGAGCCCGGCTCACTCAGCCGTTACCACGTTGGAGCTGTGAGAGGCCCCGGAATGGGGCTGTGCCTCACACTCCTGCTGGGTGGGGGAAATCTAGCTCCAGTATGAGCCCTGGAAGTGCTGGAACCATCACTTCACCTGGGTATGGTGTGGCTTCATGAGGACGAGGCTGCTGGCGACTGCCCAGAAGAAGGGGAATGATGGAGATTCCATTCTAAAAATATGGAGACCAGCCCAGCAGGAGCATCATCCCTCCTGCACCCGGGAAGCAAGAGAGCCACCCTGCTTTGGAACATGGTGCAGGAGCCTGTTCTTTCCAGCGAGATTGGATTTTCATTTTCCCTCTGGCACCACCGAGCTGTTTTCAACACCAACCCCTATGTCTGAGAATGACTAGTGCACCCCTGTCAATGCTTGGGTAGGACGAAGCAGCATTTTCCCTAACTCCCGTCTATCATTTTCTGCTACCCTGGACTTAACTCTGATTCTGTGAGGGTGTGCCCAGGGAGAAGGCACCTCAGAGACATTTGAGGAACTGCTTTCAGTTCTAGATGGTACCGCCACACAGGAGCCTGGACAGACTGGGATGTTCTCACGGGAGGGCAGCCAGGATGGTTAGAGGAATCACAACCACATCATACAAAGAACTTCCGACAGATGGAGTCACCACTCACTGTTCTGTGGTCACGTCATTCACGCCTCTGTCCCTTGGGTTCCTCACCAGTGAACTGGCCTCCGTAGCGTTAACCTCAGAGGGTTGTCGTGAGGATTAAGTTAATTCCCGCAAGCACTTGGAGCTGGCAGGGGCTCCTGGGCTGGAGCGACATGGAGGATTCCCAGGCTTCAGGTTGCAGCAGCCACGGGCCACTGCGGATCTGTGGGGGCTCACTTTCTGATTCGCAGGCCTTTTTAAAGACACAGATGTCATTATGAAGACGCTTAGCTGCCGATTGTTCTTCTGAGAAGCCTGGGTGGCGAACGTGAGCCTCTTGTGCTGGAAATAGGAGATGTGCTGCACGTGCGTTTCCCTGGGTGGATCTGTCTGCTTTGGGATTCCTTTGCCTTGTGCTGGCACTTTTCGGTTGTCTCCTGGACATGCGCTGGGCCTCATGCTATGAGACATCTCTTTATGGAGATGGATGATCTGTGTACGGTCAGCCTCGTACTACAGAGAAAAACATGCCATCCCCAGCCAGGCAAAGGATGACCAGCCACCTCTTTGCAGTACCCCAGCCTAATAAAAGCAGCCTTTGTGTTGTCTTATGGTGTAATTGCGCCGTCCACTGTAGCTGTCTGTACGCGGCTGTGTGCAAAGCAACCCATGCATGTCATTGATGTGAGAGTCACCAGACTTTGCCAGATGTTCTCCTCCTGGGTCTCCTATTGATGCATTAACTGTATGTTAAACAAACGAATTCGCAGTGAATATTTGAATAGGATTTTCCCAAACTAATGTAAAGCTAAAGCAGTGTTTTTTAGCTTGTTCTTTAGATGCTGCTGAGTATGGTGCCTGTACCTTTGAAAAGGACTGTTCACATGGTGCTTTGGTGAAGCAAGGGACAAAGGAGCAATGGATGAGAGATGTAGTAGCAGCTTTTTTGACACACGTGTGGATATAGCAACTTTCATTTATTAATTATGACATTTCCCCTGGACATTGCACACCCTTTAGAAACCTCCCTGAGGCAACGTTTGCCATACCTGATATTGTTTCATCCTGAGAAAGATTCTGGGCAGGGCTTATGGAGCCTGGTTTTTTAGAAGAATCAAGTGAATTAGAAAATTCAAGTGTAGACTCACAGTGACACCAAGAGGGACATCTATCTAACTCTTGATTTTCCATCTGTTTCCCTTATGGAAGCAAAGCCAACCCTGATAAGTTTAATAATTCTCAAGCTACTAACAGCTATTTCCCTTCTCCTTAGGCTCCTTAAGCTCCTGACTCCAAAAAGAAGTTTTCTCTCATGAACAGAGTTTGAGACTATTTTAAGATTAACTCTCATAATCTCTAGACCCACCTTCCCGAGCTTCCCTTCCTTGGAAGGAAGGGCTTTCAGAGGGACTTGGAGAGAAAGAACCCTTGGAATTCTCTAGAGGGTTCCCAAGAGTCTGGCCTTGGCTCAGGCCATCTGCTACAGGCAGAGATTAGAAGCAGGTGGGGGAATCCACGTTGACCTGGGAGCCCTTGGCTCAGTCCCCCATCTTGGCCTTGTCATGGTGCTGAGCTGGGCGTTCGGACCAAAGGTGACATGACTGTGAGTCGTACTCCAGGATTGTTCTCTGTGGAGACTCCTTCTGCCTGCCCGCTGCGGACCCATCCCCGTGAGGCTGGGAGAATGTGACTGCTTGGTCTTTTGCTCTTACCATTGGTCATGCAGCCAGAGGTCCCCACAGAGCTCACCGTCTAACTCGAAAACCGACTCGTGTGTCCTGAAGGAAATATTTTTCAAGGAAATTTTTCCCATGCAAAACGCTGGAATGTATTTTGTCTCTTGTTCTTTTGCTGTTACGTGTGTCATTTACTCCTGATCTCTGACGTGTTTCTTTGTTTTCTGTGTGTTGCAGGCAGCATAGTGTACCTCGGGATGATGGTGGGGGCGTTCTTCTGGGGAGGCCTGGCAGACAAAGTGGGAAGGAGACAGTCTCTTCTGATTTGCATGTCTGTCAACGGATTCTTTGCCTTCCTTTCTTCATTTGTCCAAGGTTATGGCTTCTTTCTCTTCTGTCGCTTGCTTTCTGGATTCGGGTAAGGTTTCTCCTTCATATTTTATAGTAATGTGTTTATTCTTCATAATTGTATGTGTTCTGCATTCTAGAGGAACTCATTACCAAGAAATTATCCCCTAAGACATCTCCTTCCCTATCTTCATGTCAACCTTACAAGCCACAGTGCTGGTTCTTAGAAATATAATTATCAACTTTTAAATCCAGAAGAGAAGGGAACACACATCAGTGTTCTCGTGGATGAGTCTTTTAGTGTTTTACTTCTAGGAAATGGGTATTGTTTTAAGTGGAATGCTGTTTCTGTGGTGGAGCACATTCATAAATTTATTTTTCTTCTGAAAATTTAATTTAAGCCAGAAATAGCTCTGGTCCTACCTATTATGAACTAATTAAAGATTCGAACCATTCAGGCTCTTAAATCCAGGATGACAGTATCTCAAGCAAATGTTGTTTTATTGATCTGTGCTAACAGCATATTTAACTAGCTAGGAAGGCTGCTTCTTGAGATGTAGTAGGTTCTTTTCGTTGAATTAACAGAAAGTGTGCTATTAGGCAAATGCAATGGCATAGTACAGCCCATGGTGTAGTCACTTTTTTTTTTTGAGCTTGAAGCACTTATTACTATATTAAGTGAAGCCACAGCTTAGGAAAACCCAATAGCTCAATTAGGAGAGTCCAAGTAACTCTGCTTTGATAAGGAAAAAAAAAAATAGTAAAAATATAAAATTTCTGATTCATGCTTGAGAACTTTATTTTCATGAGAGACATTCTTTCTGAGATGTCTAGCATAAGATGACTTTATAGGAATAATTTAAAATAAAATAAAGTAAATGAAGAAAGGGAAGGAGACAGCGCTGGGTTATGAATTTGAGAACCATATCAGTTGTGGTTGTTGATGGTAGTGGTACCCACACAGCAAAACACAGTTTTACCAAAAGAGAAAGTCAAAGAACAGCAACGTGTCTTTCTGAATTACATATTATAGTGCTTCCAAATCAGGGCTAGGACTAATAGGAGTATAAGGCATCAGAGAGAAAGACTGTATAAGTGGGTTACTTCAAGAGTACAAAGATTTCCCCATGCAGACTAATGGGTCGCTTTTATAATTTGTTCAGAATATTTTTAAATTTTTATATCATTTTCTGCCACAAGATTTGTGCATATATTGAGATTGGTGGATTATCCACAGGTTTTTCTAATGTTTTTTTTTATCTTCTTATTGCCCCTCATATGCTACATTCTGCACACAGTGGGCACTTTGCAAGCGTGTGTCTAAGTGGCACAAATTTCAGGAGCTTTCCTCCGAGTGAAGATGTTCCACTAACCATTCCAGTAAACCAAGAGGGTTGGAAAGTTTGGGAAAGTGTAAAAATATTTTTTTCTTGGAAAAAGATTATGGCAATCAATAATTTCCTTGTAATAATGGAGAAAGGGGCTTTTCCTCTGCAGAGGGGACCCTTGGTGCTCAGAGCTCTGTGTGAGATTGGCCGCATACACTGCCGACTTGGAGGTAATTTCGATCATGGATACGGGGGGCTGCAGCAGACCTAATGCTGAGTGAATTGAGACATCTGAGGAAGAACAGGTGTTATTTTAGGGCTGCTTGTTAAAGGACCTTCTCAGGGTCCATAGGATAAGACATTCTTGCCTCCAGGAAAGGCCAAGTCTTCCTTCCTCTTTCTATTACCTATGTAATACCAGCAGCCTGTCAGGAGAAGGCTAATAGCCTCAGTTCTCAACTTTCCAGTCCTTTCCATTTGCAGTCTTATCCAGGAAATTTCAATGATATCCACAGATGCAGAAGTACCTGACTGTGGTCAAATTATTATGGCAATTTTAATTGCCAGTCTGGATTGTGATATGGTCGACCCAATTGACTGCAGAGAAAAGGGCCTCTGTGGTGGCTACAGAATACTCCAAACTAATGGACTGTCCAGAACCTAATTCAAGGGCAGCACAGAAGCAGAGACTGCTTGGGTGTATTCGTGATACCATCCTCTTCCCTGTCACAGACAAATCATCTTTAGCCAGCGGCTCAGGGCTGCTGACCTCTAGAGAACATAATTTACCTGGCAAAGCACAGACTGTGTATTGCTAACTCAGCCAGGCTCTATAAACTGTGATACCAGAGGGTAACGCACGATGCCTTTGGGAAGTTGGCACAGGACTGGGCTCCAGAGATCCAAGCCCACCTGTCCTGCCCTTCACTGTGGGTCCTTGGGAAAGTCACTCAGGCTCTCTGCCTCGTTCGTCTCTTGTAAAAGGGAGATAACAGTACCTTACATTCCTACCTTGGAGTGTGAGGCTCAAGTGAGATAGTGGATTAAAAGTACCTAGTAGTGGAGGAAATGTGGGATAATATCTAGAAACATGCCCCATGGGTTGGCATCTCCTGCTCTCTGTTCTTCCTCCCATTCATGGAGCTAAGCCGTCCTGTGCTCATGGCCTCAGAGTGACAGCAGCAGGGGAAGGAAAAGGAGGCCTCTTTCTGGCTTTGAAATTTCAAGTCCTGCCCATGAGGGAAACAGAAAGGACTAGTCATGGGGAAGAGACCTGGGAGAAAACAGGGCGCTGAAATCCAGCATCCCTGCTTCCAGAACAGATAGAGCCTGGGCTGGGGCGGGGCTGCGGTGGGGGGGGCTGGAGTTTACTCACCTGGGCTGCGGTGGCAAAACACCCAGGGTTGTATAGGATCCAGCAGCTGAGGGGACCTGAGGAATGAAGTTGTTGAGGAAAATGAGGAGTTATCTTCCTTCCTTGGCTGAGTTTTATGGGCCATGTAACCGACACGTAACGTGTAAGTTGCCACCTCCCTGACAGAGGGGTCTCTCAGCAGCTCTAGAGTTCATCTGAATGCCTGGCCTCTGAATCTCTGGGCGGTCTCAGCCAAGACTCTTTTTCTCCAGTTCCATTCTGGTTCAACTCAAGAGCCACTTCAGCACCTGCTCTATCCCTGAAACCATGCTGGACCTTTCATGGGTGTAGATGAGCCCTGGCCCCAAGGTGCTTACCATCTAGTCGTCCAGGGAAGCCAAAGGGACAGCTCTCCCATTTTCCACCTGCGAAGAACTAGTCAGTGCCCAGAGAGAGAGAACAACTAGGGGCCTGCCAGGCTCACAGAAGAAGGAGAAAGCAATGACAAAATCATGAATGAGAGACGGATTTTCACTTAAAGGCTCTTCTTGTTTTTAAAGGCATATAATGTTTAAACCCTTTTCACTCCCATTACTTATGAACTCAGTACATAAGCAGCTGAAGTTCTGATATAGTCCCTTTTAATTTAAACTTTCTTTATTAAAACTGAAGCCAAAGGGCCGGCCCCGTGGCTTAGCGGTTAAGTGCGTGCGCTCCGCTGCTGGCGGCCCGGATTCGGATCCCGGGCGTGCACCGACGCACCGCTTCTCTGGCCATGCTGAGGCCGCGTCCCACATACAGCAACTAGAAGGATGTGCAGCTATGACAGACAACTATCTACTGGGGCTTTGGGGGAAAAATAAATAAATAAAAAAAATCTTTAAAAAAAAAAAAAACTGAAGCCAGAGTTAAGACTTTCATCCTGGAGACCTTAAATAAGAGATCTTGTTGTATCTACTTAGTTAAACAGCTCCCTCCATCCACATCTGATGTAGTTTTTAAAGCGAGGAAAACTACATGACCAAGGAGATAAGGTTTCAGAACGTTGGGAATTTTTCTTTCCTGGGCCCCATCAACGCTCCACGTGTTTCCCAGGAGCATCGCTCTCGCCATCCTTCCCGCTTCAAAGGTTCTTCTCCCAGAGCCTTCAGCACTCACGGCCTCAGAGAGACCCATGCTGAGCCCACCTGCCCCAGCGGCTCTCATCACAGAGCCCTGTTTTGTCTTCTTGGTAGCTTATCCATGCCTGAAAATACTTGCTTTTTCGTGTTTATTTCTCTCCTCCAGCAGCATGTAAATTCCAAGAGGGTAGGGGTTGACCAGACAGTTCTGTCTGCTCTTTATTGCCTCATCACCCAAGGCAAGGTGGTTACTCTAGAGGACACAGTCACAGCAGCAGTCGGAGTAGTCTGACTTGCACAGACCTATGGCTTTGGCGATATGTGATCAGGGTGTTCCTAGAAGGGAAATAGATATGAAGTTTGCTAAAGTCTCACTTGATCTCTAAAAGTGGAAGAGTTCTAGGTCAAGTGAACAAAAGTTTAACTTGAATCATAAAAACAGAGAGTCATGGCCCCTCAGTCAATTGCCAGACTTGAGCCAATTTACAGACCCAGAGCTCCTTGAATGAAGGGGAGGCCGGGTCCCTTGAGGAAGGACCCCCCAGTACACTAACAAAAATTTACACTCTTCATCTTTCTCCCAGACTTCCCCAGGGGACCTATGGCCTTTTACCAGGGGAACTGTGCACGAGGGAAAAGGAAATAATCAGACTTTTGGAGGCTTACTAGGCCCTAGCTCTGGACTGACATGAATTCCAGGAGACCCAAAATCTCTCTGTGGTCCACCAGTCAGAGGAGGGGCTGATGGTGATCAGGTCATCAATGGAGTTTTAGTCAGGTCCCTCTCAAAGTGGGTCCAGTGGGTCCCTGAATCCATCCTGGGGTTATTTCCCAGTTCTAGATTGCAGAATTGGAATAGACATCACAAATGACAGAATCCCACGTTGGTACAGCTTCTGTCCACCAGTTCCACACACTGGGAATTTCAGAGGAGGAAGAGTATTTCTGGGTCACAGTCCAAACCCTTCATTTTGCAGATTAAGGTTCAGTGATGGAACCAGGAATGACACAGCTAGGACTTAAGTTGCAATTAACTCCTTTTGAACTAGCAACTCTGTAAACAAGTAAACTGTCTATTCTGAATCCAAGGTTAAGATGCCTTTGTGTTGATTTTATTGCAAATGCGGCAGGTTTCTGTTGTTCTATCTTATTTCATTGCTGAAGCACCACTAGCAGCACTGTGTTATATTCCCGTTTCTGCATATAAGGGAGACTGGAAGGAGCTCTTGTTTTAGCCTGAGGTCTACTGGGGTTTATGGTTTCATTG